CCTGGGAGAGGGGCTGCTCCGGCACAGAGCCTCAAACTGCCGCAGGAGCTGGCAAGGAAAGGGAGGAACAGAGCAAGGGGTCAGTGCAGCACCTGGGGCGGAGGGTCTGCCCCCCACTGATCCCGTCGGAGCTGGCTCCGGCCAGCCCCTCTGCACTCACCTTTGTGGCTTTGTTGGCCACGGGGCCGGGGCTTCGTTGGCTGAGCGCAAAGATCTGCTCGTGGGCCAGCAGGTCGGAGCACAGGAGGCAGGATACGGCACACATGGACCTCTGGCAAGGGCAGGGCAGGGTCAGAGAGGGGCCCGCCCCAGCCCAGGGAGATGGCTCAGAGTCGTGACATGCCAGGGGGACAGCGAGGGATGGAACAGGCCAGTCAATTAACCGATTAACGATAAGCTTATCGGTTAATGCTATCGAGTTTAGACCACATGCCATTTCTCCCACCAGGACATTTTTTAGCAGCCTGGCTCAGCCCTGGCTTGTGCTAGATCTTGGACCCTCTTCTGCTGCGGCTCTGAATTTAAAGTGTATTAGGAGCCAGGCAGGTAGCCTGGCTCAGTTCCAGCCTGCGCTAGATCTGGGAGCTCAGCCACCTTTCCCCACCCCAGACGGGCGGCTGCCACCGCACGCTGTTGCTTCTGTATCAGAGGCAGCAGTGCAGGGCGACAGGAAGCCAGTTCACAGGAGGAGCTGGTTTTTAAACTGGCTCCCTTCATGGACTAGCTCCCGCCTGGCACCCCACACTGCTGCCTCTGATACAGAGGCAGCAGCATGGAGTGACGGGACACCTCGCGAGCGAGGCCAGAGCGCACTGGCTGCTGGCCCCACCCTGGGGACTATAGAATAACTGAGTAACCGATAAGTATTCATGAGATTAATCGACTATTCAATTAATTGATATTTAACATCCTTACTGGGGCTATGCAGGGTATGAAGCTTAATGGGAGAGGGCAAAGGAGTCACAGAAGGTGGAAGTTTGCTTATAACTAAGATTAAGATTTTGTCATGGATAATTTTAGCAAAAGTCACAAACAGATCACGGGCAGTAATGAAAAATTCATGAACAAAAAGGAGAGCCTGGGCAGCTGCAGATAGGCTGGGAGTACCATGGTCCCCCCTCCACTGGCAGCTCTGGGTGTCCCCCCTGTGCCCACAGAGGCACATGTCTCCAATGGTTTCCCCTGCCTTGACAGTCAGGGGACTGGCAGGGATCCCCTGCTGTCTGCAGGAGCCAGAACTTCAGGGGAGCCAGGAGTTCAGAGGGGGGGAGCTGCAGGGATCCCCCTACTGTCTGTGGCAGCCAGGGGCAGTGGGGATTCCTGTCACTGATAGAGGCAGAGCGCATTGGCCAGGCTGGGTTGGGGGCCTGGGGCCACACAGCTGTGGAGAGCGCCCAGCCCAGCCCGTTCCGGCACGCCTGCAAGGGTGGGAACGCAGCCCCCGCCCTGCCCCCGCTGCACCCCTGGGCGGGCAGGAGGGGAGGCGACGGACTCTTACTCTTTGACGAAGTGCTGGGTCTCGTCCCGCGTCAGGAAGACCTTGGAGCCCCGGGTCAGCGTGCTCACCAGGCTCAGCTCTCTCAGGCAGCCCCCCTCCACCCTGCCGGCGAGAGCCAGCCCGTCACCTCGGCCCGGAGCCCCGCTCCCGAGGGGCAGCACGCAGGCCGGATCAAAGGCCCCGCTCCCGAGGGGCAGCACGCAGGCCGGATCAAGGGCCCCGCTCCCGAGGGGCAGCACGCAGGCCGGATCAAGGGCCCCGCTCCGGAGGGGAGGGAGGCAGGCCGAGACAAAG